GAGAGGAGAGGAGAGGAGAGGAGAAAACACACCTTTGGTTCTGTTCTCTCTGGCAGCCAAAAGTGCAATGCCCATAGAGATACAGAACCCCACGGTCAGGTGGAAGGGGATATTTGTGGAATGGGGCAATTGGGGCCCTGTGGGTCATCAACTTCAATATCCACATTCAGGAGGGCTTGTTCCATTTTCCAATGGGAAATACTAGTTTTCTGCCAGATCGCTCTGATTCAGCTGCAACTGGCCCTTGGATGAAGGCTGGCTCCAGTGTGAAGATAGCACTGGCGCACAGGCCATCCCAAAATCAGGGCAAGGGGGCTCTGTGGATGATCCCATAGTAAGGATACCCTGGTCATGCCTTGTACTAGGGGATTCATTCTGCTGGTTAGAAGACCCACATTTCTAAAAGGATTTAATTTTTTCTGGCAAGGCCTGAGAGAATGAAAGGCTAGAACTTTGGGCACCTGATATATTAAGAAACATTTCTTTTATCTCTTTAAAAGCCAAAAGAACTAGAATCGCTTATTTTTAAAAAAAAAGGAAACGAGAAAGCTGGAATTCCCACAGTGAATTAGACATTTCATTTGTAGTGAGGTACCAGATACATAACCCTCTGTGTAAGAACCAGCTTCACTAGCTGGTGGGGACCGAGAGGTATGTTCAGCCATGAATGTGCCCATAAACTGCTCTAGAGCAAAGTTGGACCCAGCTCAGAAGCTTTCCAGTCATTTGCTTTCCATTCCACAACACTGGACTGCAGACCCACTTGCCAAACTAAATGGAGCTCGCACCCGATTTTCTGCGACCTTTAAGACCTGCTGCAGCTGTAGAGCTATGGAGACCATCCCAGAGCTTCTCAGCACTGTTTCTGCCATAGTAAGGTTCTATGAATAGGACATAAGATACCCTGTTAGCACCAGCAGTTTCAGCTGAAACATCCACCAAATTAGGAGGCATTTTAAAGCTTGCCAAGGACTCAACAGAGGAGTGACACCCTGGCTATGCTCTCCTTCCTCCTGTGCAATGCTTGCTTTCCACCAAGTAGAAGTTATAAAAAGGAGCTCCCATTGATAGGAAACTCACCAGAGAACAATATGGGAACAGTATATTGCTTATACATTTCTTTTCCAAACAGTTTGTTTGGCTTTCATTTTTATCTAGAATTGTTTTTGCACAATAAACCTATTGAAACTCTCAGTGCAGTGGATAATCAAGATTTTAACAGTCCTATCCACACATTAAGTTCTCATGTGATTACACTTGTGTGACAGAAGGAAGGGGTCCACATTTTCTGGCTTCATCCCTGCATTCTCTGCTGGCTCTTTAACCATGCCATCCATACATTTGAAGGTGAGTTCTCATCTCATATGGGGAGTTTGACATGCATATGTAGGTACCTGCCCCACATGATTTAGAAACCTACATGCTCAGGATGGGATGGAACCAGAATCAACAGGAAGCATCTGCAAGTGTTTCAATAAAAATTCAGTGACTACCATTGCTGCTACCTGAGATCTTAAACTTCTCTTCCAGCCTGAATATGGAGGAAAGGTAAAGTAACAGGTTCCTGTGGATACCATTTTATGCAGACGTAATGACTGAATAGGACTTGTAACTCTTAAAACAATCCATGTTAAGCCCCTCTTAATGTCCTAGAAATATGATAAATTACAATGCTCTGGCCTAAATAATCTCATGATGGGAAAATTCTGTTCCCCCTGCTCCATGTGCTGCTGAACTGCAAGGGCCAGCATCCTTCATCACTGGTGCAGCCGTCAAGGATTAAAATCTATGCATAAGGCCTTTGCACTCTTTAACAGAACACAAAAAACCCAGCTTGGCTTAACTACATCTTTGGGCAAAGTAAAGAAGCTGAGTAGGCCTAAATGGAATTTGGATGCTTAAGCATATTTAAACAGAAATTACAACATCCAAAAGTCAGTCAGTAAAACAGAACCAGCTTGGCCAGTCTTGTACTAATTTGCAGGTTTTCCAATACACTAAGCTCTGGAGCACTTCAGAGAGGATAAGGGCCCAGTAACCTAACTTAGCAGCTGCTTTGGTCAAAAGGCTGGTAAAACATACTCATTTTCTGAAGCCCTGCAAAGCTGCCTCAAAACATGACAGCCAAAATATAACAACCATATTTATGTAGTAAAGGCTATCTACCTATTCTGGTCTACTGAGTCTTGACAGAAACGTGGCCTAAGTATTATGAAGGAATGAGAAGTATCTCATAAAAGTGTTAAATTTTACATATCCCCCCCTCCCCCAAATGGAGCTGGATGAGATTAAAGGGCACCAGCCCAAACATCCCATTTCCAAAAAAGGAAAGTTGCCTCTGGGGCAATTTACTAGCAGGACCCCTCCATTTCTGGCTAGCTCTGTTACGGATATGACCTGCAGCTTCCCAGGTCAGTTCACCACTTCCTAACATTTTCTGAATCACCATCTTCCTAAGGAAAGCAATCAGTCCTGATTCAAAAGCCTCCCCTTTCTGTTTTCCACATATGTTTAGTTAAGATACTACTTTTGCAAAACAAACCAATCAAAATAGAAACAAGATATTTATTCCTAGTTTAATTCTTCACAAGGTTGGAAACTGCAAGCTGACAAATTACAGTCCTCGTTTTTAGAGGGGAAGGAGAGACTGCTCAGGGAACCAGATTATTATCCTTCATTTCAGGTATTATGCAGACAAATGTTGTGTCATCTTGATTTAAACGTTCTAATTCCAAATTGTTAATAAGAAATCCCTAGGCAGCACTAATAATACACCACCCACATCATATGCTAAAAGCTTCTGGCCATTCCAATTCCCAGTTGACTGCAGGAACGCCTTCTGGAGCTAGTACAATAATGTATGACACAGCACTGCTGGACAAGGCAAACTGTACAGCTAACAGACCATAAAGATTTGTGGGTCATTCTCAAGCCCATGCCTGTTACCACCACTGAAGGTCATCTGCACACTGTCTCTAGGTCTTTCCTCTCTTCTTCCTCTTCTTTGGTCCAAAATTTCACTTTGCACCAAATCATTTTAGTAATCTCATCTCTACTGCTAAATCATGTGCCTCTGAAACTGAGGTGATAAGAGCACTCTATCACCAAGGGAAAATTCCCACAGAACTGTCCAAAATAAACCTAAACTCCTCACCTGCTCTCTATGTGAGATGTGCCAGAGGTCATTGGATCTTGGCAGAAGAAATGTGCCTGTCAGCTATACTGAGCTCTAGAGCAAAATATAAATGCCTAATAACATCCCAAACCAAAACAGGCTGCTGGAGGATCCACTAGTGAAAATAAAAAGTTCTAATCTAAACCTTCTAGGGATCTTTGCACAATTGTCTTCTCATCCAATGCTGCTTGGCAGAGAGTTCTCAACAACAGGACCTATAACATTCTCCCCCTGAACATAGCAGCAACAATTTCTTCCCTATATTATTGCTTATCCCCATACCCCAACCCCCCATTCAATTTACCTGATTGTCGGCGTCCTGACCGATTCCGTTGAAGAATGTCTTCAGACTGTTGACATGATAAAGACTTCTTCAAGCGCTCAGGACTGTATTTGAAGTGAGGAGGATCTGAAAGGAGTAGATGGGTGTTTGTGAAAACACATCAGCTCATCCTGCTACGTGGGACTAGACTGCAGAACACATAAGGGAAAGCCAATCTGATACCGTCTAGGTCTGGGTCCTACAAATACTGCCAGCCCATGTTACCTCCTGGTTTACAGGAACCAAACAAGCACCATCTTACTCACTTACAATCCACTTAACATTTGCATCATACAAAGAAGCCAAGACAATAACAAAGATATTAAATTACAGGAGACAGAACTGGGAGTAGCTATATGGGATGATGGATCCACATTCTGTTTATTATTGCTTTTTCCATCCTGTAAAATTCCCCCAAACAGATGAAATCATCTAACCCTTAATACTGAACTTAACCTCTCCTGGTGGAGTGTTGTAACATATTTATTGGCTGCTTGTACCAATGATACAGCAGACAGGAACAATTAAACAGGAAACAGACATCTGAAACAAGAAGAGGAGAAACTTACAGAATGAGTCCATTTCCAAGATGGCTTCTTTGGCCTGAAGGAAAGAATTGCTTTAATAGTTGAGGTAAACAAATAAAGGAAAAAAGCTATATTACTGAAATAAGGACAATCCAACCCCTTTGTCACCACCAAAGAAGAGACAGGGAAGCAGAGAGGAGATATTTCTCTTCACCTCATTTTCCTGTGCAGAAAATGCCAAGAACAAATTGCCCTGCTCCAGGCATTAACCCCTATTGCAGTTGGATACAAACAGCCAGTCCCAGCATAAGTACAAACATCCCCACAGATATTCCACATCCCTTTTAGAAGAACTCTTAGATTTGGGAAATATTACTGGGCTTTCAGAGATTTGTAAAAAGGGTGAATGTACTCTAATAGGGTCCAGGAAAGAACTCGATAAGACGACCAAGACGTCTCCAGGAGGGCTGGGGATCTTATAGCTCTCCTAGAGAGGCTGACTTTCAACTCTCAGCCAGCATGGCCAATGATTTCTCTAGGTGCCTACTTCCCTCCTCCGCCCGCAAATTCTTGGCTTATAGCTCTGACCAAGCCTGAGAAAGGCTTTTCCCAGCATGGGGTCCTCCAGGCCATCAGACTACAAATCCCAAGGGCCACGCAGACTAGGGACCATGGGAGCTTTAGTGCAGAACACCTAAGAAACCATGCTTTAGAGAATGGCCAAAGTGCTCCATGGAATTTCTGGCATCCATTCTGCAAGATCACTAGGGAGAAGGGAGAACAAAACCCACTCACTTTCTGAGGAATTATGGCATGGTGATTTTCTAAGATCAGGCGCTTGAGATGGTGAGTCCAAACCCGCTTCTCCTCCACTGATTTGGCCTGGTAACAAAAGTACACTCCATGAGTTTGGAAGGCAGTTGTACACACATGATCCTGCTGTAGCTCAGCCTACTGAATCTTCCTATTCTTTGCTGTTATTTCTCAAAGGCTCTTTCTATATCTGCTCATTATTACCAACTCTACCTTCTCCAGCATTTAATAATTCAAATTTAATTCCTATGGCTGGATTTTCTCAATGTGCTCTTATCACGTGATGCTGCATCCCACCCCCAAGCTGGTCTAATTGCTTACCTTACACCTCCTTCTTTCCAACTCAATCCAATCCTGCATTTGCCACACGAAAGCTCATAACTACTTATTTCCCCCGATCCTTCTGCTGGTTTTCCCACTCCCTCAATTATCTGCCAGCTTTGCTACAAGCAGGTTGTCCAGCCTGAGCTTCAGGTCCCTGCCTCAACTACCACCTTCCATCCACTGATAATGCCAGTGGGTCTTCATCTCACCTGAATGTTATACTGCTGCTTGCTGTGCTTGTAGTGGGTGATAGTGAAGCAAAGTGAGTCCCGCGTGCTCTCAATCAGCATCAGAGAGGAACACTGCAGGGCCAGACAAGACATGTCACTTCAGCCACAGCAATTAATACCATCATGTTACCTCTTTGTGTATTACTTGAGGAATACAAAGGGAGAGAAGCTCCCCTCCAGTGAATAACTCCTTGAAGTGACACTAAGGCCATCTTCATTTCATTGATCCAAAACAGTGCATGGCCAGGTTTGCATTGCAACATTTGTACATTTGTAAAAAGCTCTTGTGGTCTGTTCTGTGCCTTTGGAATGGGATGTTAGTGCAGAAAAAGAAAGGGAGGTCCTTTGGATCAAAAGAGAGTTTACGTTATTGCTGGGAATAGTCTCTGCACTGCATTCAGGCAGTTTGTATAGTACAGAAGTTAATACATAAGCCAAGAACACCCAAACAGGAGGGAGGGGGCTCTTCTTTGGCTAGGAGGAAATAACAATAACATACTTCAGTAGGCCCATTTAATTAAGATCAGTCTGGAACAGCTACCGCCTTTTAGTTTTGCCTTCCCCATCACTAATGCAAATTAAACTAGAGAGACACGTATACATATCATTTTTCCAAGGACAACACATTTATAAGAAGTTCCTTTCAAGCAGGTATAAGTTTTGAAAAGCCTCTTTTTATGCCTGTGGCTTTCTAGATGGAGAAAGGGTTGCATGTGACAGAAAAGGTAGCTTTGGAGGGAGGAAATAAAAAATCCAGGCAGACATGTTTGTCCTGGGGGCCTCTATAGGTGATTATAAACTCATATCAATTTCAGCTGTCAGGAAGAAAATTTTAGTCAACAAAGAATGTCAGCCTTTTCATCTCTTCTTGCCTCTACTCTCTCCTCTTGATGGCTAAGATATCAAATCCTCAATCCCATTTTAAAAAATAGAAGAAACAAATAGTAGGCAAACATCTATTTCTTATACAATGGAGAAGCATAAAGAGCACCCCACTTACTGGAATGTGGCTTTTGTATATGTAGTGATCACCCCGTTTCTTTGTTATCAGCAAGATTCTGTCCAAAAGGAAGAACGTTCTCTCATTCCTGACACGATGTACACGGAATGTGCCTTCTAGGACCAGCTCACCATAAGTTGTCAGGTCTGGGCCCTTCCAATTAATAAGTAATGACTGGATTTCCTGAAAGGTCAAGGGAAAGATTAGTGTTTTCATATCCTAGCTCTTCCCTACCCGATGACATCCAGATGTGCTGAGAAGTGTGGTCAGAGGAAAATAAGATCCAGCACAACTGGAGGACAGCAGGCTGGAAAAGCCTGCAAGTCTATCAGGAGCCATTTCAAGGAATTCAAAGAAAATATTTAGGTATTTTTTATAAGTTGCTTGAACCTTATAGCAGTTTGACATTAAAAAAAGTACAGGGACAATATATTTCTTCAATATTTGGGGACTATAAGGGCCAAAATGTATACAATATTTTTCCTTGGCAAACATATTATTCCAATCTACCACACAGCCCAAAGAATTATGCAAAGACCCAGCTCTCTGGAAAAGGCTCTAATGCTAGGAAAGGTGGGAGGAAAAAGAAGAGCAAGATCGATGGACTCAGTTACAGTAGTGATGAGTGCACCGTTGGGAGACTTGACAGAAAAAGTTAGGGATAGATTGTCCTGGAGAAAATCAATCTATGTGGTTGCTAGGAGTTGAAAATGACCTGATGGCCCATAATCAATCAATAGCTAATCAGCAACAAGGAAATCTTCTGAGACTTTTGGCTTTGCTACTACAGGTAGCCCTTGGTTAATGACCATTTGTTCAGAAACTGTTCAAAGTTATGACAGAGCTGAATGAGACGTATGACTGGTCCTCAAAGTTGCAGCTATCGCAGTGCCCTGCAGTCACATGATTGCGATTCAGTTGCTTGGCAACTAGCTCACAATTACAATGGTCACAGTGTCCCATAGTCATGTGATCTCTATTCACGACCTTCGCTGCCAGCTTCCAACAAGCAAAGTCAATGGGGGAGCAGGCAGGAAGTTGCAAATGGTGATCACGTGATGTCGCACTTAATGACCATGTGGGATTCGCTTAACAACTGCAACAGGAACTGCTGTCATAAGTCGACGTGGTCATGTGACATCACACTTTATGACCGCATCACTTAGCAGCAGAGTTACTGGTCCCGATTACAGTCATTAAGCGAGGACTACCTGTACAGGGCCCTTTTCTTTTGCAAATGTTAAAAGAATTAAACCCTAAATGCTTCTTCCTTTCTTCTACTTGCTTTGACATTTTCTAAGATCTTTTGAATCAGAAATTAGACAATGGATTCAATCAGTGCCAGAATAATTTTATATTGAACTAAAGAAGACTATGAATACAAACTCCAAAATCCAGCATTTATATCTAGCCTTTTAATTAATCATTCATGGGAACTTGAATATTTCCCTTTGCCCAGTTATATTCCCTCTGCATCTAGCATGGACATCATGGAAACAATTCAGCCAAACTGCAAGATCGGAAGACATCCAGGTGACACATATGGCTCAGCCCCTCAACTGACAGGACATTATTTCAACAAGGTATCATTTGGAAATAATTTTTCTCCTCCCATCTGTTTAACTCTAGGAAGATCAGCCACCAATGATGGCAACTTTTTTTTTTTTTTTTAAAGCTTCTCTCTTTCTAATCAGTATTTAGTTTCTGAACTGTGTCATGGAAAGCTCCTTTACACCCAGACGAATGGGCTATCTAGCTCAGGATGCAAGCAGCTCTCGAGGGATTTTATAGCAGCGTCTTTCCTAGCTGTGCCTGGAGATGCTGGAGATTGAAGACAGGACCTTTTGCGTGCGAATCAGGGATTCTAACAATTCCCAGTGAGCTATGGTCACTGTGAGACTAGGCTGAAGCTGCCATAACCTAAAGATGAAGCAGGCATGTAAGCAGAGAGGACAAAAGCCAGGAATCTTATCTAAAAGATCTCTTCAGGGAGATAGATAAGAAGGAAACAAGTTGTTAAAAAGAAAAAAATGTCACCTGAACCAGACAAATGAAGTTGGACCTCAGGACATGGAAACTTCTCCCCAATCCCATCAACAGCTACCAGACTTGTAAATTAACAAGGCAAGAGCAGCTGCCAGCTTAAGCAAGGAAAAGGGGTAAAAGGAGTCCTGAAGCCTGCCCACTCCTTGAGTCTTTGAGTTGTCTTTGGATCCAGACCTGGCAACTTCCGTCCCTCTAGCTAGTGCCTGGCAGCCTAGTTGAGAAGGACATGGGTAAGTGTGGCTAAGTGTGTGTGCATGTATATGGAAGAGCAAATGTACATTGTAACCAGTAAAGTTTTGCTGTTACTTTAAATTCACTAGGTCTCCATGTATTTCAAAGAACCTGTTGCGCCTTGGTGTTCAATTGAAAGCAATGTGTGCGTGTCCCTAATTACTTCCCGCCTGTTGCCCAGGGCTGTGTGTCCAGTTTGTTCCAGCCACACCTATCTGGAAAACCCAGGTAGAAAGCAAGGGGGACTTACAAGATCACAAGATGGGCCTCAACAGGCTCTGAGTGTGTGAGTGAGTGAGTGATCATAAGCCAAATCTGGGAGCCCTTGTAACATCACCCTGCCTTTATCTTCTAAATAATGAAAGTAATGATGGCTCAGACCAAATCATTTCTCCAAAAAGCACGCCTATGGGTTCTGCAGCACCATCCTCATCCTGAGGCCCACTCCTTGCTTATGCACTTTACAGAAACAAAACTAGCCAAAGGCAGAGATGAAAACTAATGTCACCTCACATGTGTGCTAGCAAAATTTAAATCTAGCAGAGTTATGATATTTATCATTACATTTCCCAGCAGACTGCTCCTTTACATTAATGCTAAGGATGGGTGGAGTTCTCACTAGGATGTCTGTAACTGTCTGCATATTCTGAGCAGAGCTTGGAATACCAAGATGTGCAGAAGAGAAATTCAGGATGCAAATGTGGAAAGGGAAAGGAAGGGTGAGAAAAGAGATACCACACTTGATCTCCAAGGACAGGGGCTTTCAGATTTTTTAGGCTGTAGAAAGCTGGAAAAATCGCTGGAATTTCTGATCAAGAGGCAAAGCTCTAGTGACAGAACAGTGGCTGCGTTTGAGTGACTTTTCTTTTTGCACTTGTCTCTCACGAAACCCCACCAAGTTCTCGGAGAACACGAGGGTTCCACGGAACACAGGTCATTCCGGGCTATTCAGAGGCTTTCGGCTGCATTTGAATTTGTATTCATTTTTGGTACCAGGGTCAGTCCTAGAACATGCTAAGCACCAAAGTGCAGCTGAGAAGTACCAAGAAAGCTTTCCTCATCCACACCACCAATGGATCTGCAACCCAATGTAAGATGATAAGCACTGGGGTGGTATCACCTTTACTTACTTTCGTTGCTTAGACCTTTATTGTTATGTTCTTAGAGAGTGAAAAATAGATGAACACAACTCAGAGAACTACGTTTCATAAGAGAAGCCTTTTTGTGTCTTTAGTAGCTGAGTAAAGAAGAGAACTGTCAACAGATCCATCTTTTATCAATGCTATGAAAATCCCTTCTGCTGTGACAATTGAAAATGACAGGAGTCTTGTTCTCTTTTAGTTTGAATCCCAGAAGGGAAAAGCAGGAAAGCTGGATATGCATGGCTATCAAACTAAGACTAAAACTTCACTCTCTGAAATGATATGGCATACCATTTGATATCTGCATCTATATCATCTGAAATTAAAAGAATGGTATTCACATCAGATAGTGGCATTCACAGCAGGGCATGTCCTTTGCATGCTTCTAGAAATTTGGGATGGATCATGCAACAAAATGAAAATACTTCCTGAATGGGCATAGAAGTTATGTGCTCAGAACAGCAACACATTAAAAAGTGTTTTATCACAGAGTGACAGGATTGAAATATAAAATAGCGAAGCACAAAAAAAAAAAAAAAAATCCCAGAATATGCCTATTTAACCATTTGGCAAAAGATGTATTACAGGTGGACTGGAAAAGTATTATAAAGTAAACAAAATAAGAGGACATAGAAAGCAATTTTTCTATTAAGAAAAAAACAAAAAGGTTCTTCCCAGAAACAATTCCTGACTTTAAAAAAATGGAGAAAAGATAGAAAACAGACAGCTGTCTGT